TTGTTTCAAAGTAGAACATAGGAAAAAAGAAAAAAGAATCTAATATAGGAGGCATCTTAAGTCCAATCCACGTGCATCACACTTCACACGGGTTGCTTGTAGCCTTCTAAATCCCAATCAGCCCAGATCAGACAGGGGGAATGCATCTGACCGTGAATTGATGCTAAATTTACGGACAGGATGTGATTTATAAGGGGGAAAGGGCTAGTTGTAGGGGGGCTGGAATTCAGAATTCTGCATCGTGTGTATCCGTATTTCTCCCAATAAGATAAGGCCATAAGGTTGTACCTGTTGGGTGTTGAGCAGAGCACTAAAAAACTCATTTTTTTTTTTCTGAAATCGGCTGTTGTTAACAATTCAGCATATGTATATATGGTGGTGATGCCATGCTACTGACGTGACGTATTATCTGATGACATCACCACATCTTGGCCATCTTTTGGACTCTCCTTCTCTATAGTGGGAATCTCGTAGACCCGTTAATGGTCCAGAATGGCCCGTTAGTGGGAATCTCGTAGACCCGTTAAAATCACCCTTATTTATTCAACCAGAATTTATATAATAAAGACTGTCCGAATTTTTAGCTTTTTGGCTTAAAACATAGAAGACGTTAGATGCAAACATAATGGAATTTCTTTTATGATTCCAAAACTCAGTTTTCCTAAATTTATTTAATCAAGTTGAGCGTTAATAATAATAATAATGAAACAGAATTTTTTTTCCTTAGCTCAAATTCGTCCCGGGTAAACTGACGCCTTCACACCATTTCATTAGTCACCATGTTCAGAACCACCCCCCCCCCCTCCTCCCATTCGCTTTAATCATTTTGTTAATAACTTAACTTTATATCTTTAATGCTTGCATTTCATTTCCTCTCTCGTACAATAACACTAATTGGGAGAAGAGAATAATATCATGTCTTGTGTTTGTAAATTCTAATAAACAAGGGTATTGTATTTTGATTTGGAGGCAGGTCATGACTCCCATTCTCACTCATACTATTAATGCATATATAGGGATTGTATTTTATTGTTCAGTCTATGTTAGGCAATTTTTTTAAATTATTCGATTTAGCTAATGTATTAATTCTATCTTTACTGTTTATACATTTATCTTAAAGTATTTTTATTATTTTTGATAATACATGCTAAATTCATCATCCACTTACCACTACAACAGTACAACTTGGGAAATTAACAAGCAAGAAAAAGAGAGAGAAAAAAAAACCGAAACAGTGACGGTGGAGTGGACAAACTGATGAAAAAATTACAAAGAAAAATGACAAATGAGTAACAGGAGCCTCCTCAAACTACAATTCCATTTTCACCAGTTCCGGTTCCAGCGGGAGTGTAATTTAACTTTCTCATCATATAAGCAACACCATTAGCATTTACAAAAGAATCATAAGAAATAGCTTCATTGGATTTTTCATGGTGGCAGCATTCTCATTAGTAGCAGGAGCACCAACAGCCCCATGTGTTGTGTTGAGGAGACAGGTGTGTCTTGCATAACACAACATATTGTTTAAATTTCTATCACCTGAACCACGACCATCTGGGATAGAATAGAAGAATTAGCCGCATCTTTTTTAATGTTACAAGTAGTTGATGAATCCGTAGCACCGCCGACGAAAAAATAATAATAATAAAAATAAAGCATCACCGTCAGGAAACCCAGCCCTAGCTATTAGAAGCAAATGTCGAGGAAAGTGAGGAAAAGAGGGAGAGAAACAAAGAAAGCTGAGAGGGTTAGCGTCAATTTGTTTATGTTTCTTACCTGAAATCAACTGGCATCACTAAAAACACAATAACAAATCTAATTATTTTTGGGCTTTCCCTATCCTCACTCGGTGATCGGTAATTTCGTCCTATAGCACATCTTCTAGGTTTTTGGGTGAAATTCTTCGCCAACCTCCCTAATTCACAGCCATCTCTCTCCTTCCCAGTAGGGTTTTTGGGTTTCTAGGTATTTATTGTCGGGGGAACTCTTCGGCGACCTCCCTAATTCACAAGGGCCCTACAGACAGGTAAGGAATATGGAAAGGAAACAGAGAGGAGAATAAGGATAGTTTAGGAATTTAAAAAAAAAAAAATTATCAGTCACATTATGTCACATGTGAATGGAGTATGACAGAAAGTTAGCGGAAATGGAGGTTTTAGGCAATTGTCAGAAACAATAGGGGCATTTCAAGACAGTATGTAAACAGTAAAGGTAGAATTAGTCAATTAGTTAAACCTTAAGGATAGTTTAAGAAATTTGCACTATAAATTTTTATCAATTTATACAATTGGAACAGTAACAAGTGGAAAAATAAATCAAAATTCAAGGGGTAGTGAATCATAGGTGGAATTGGTTAATAAAACAAAATAATAATAATAAAAACTTCTGAGGTGGAATGAACCATAAATTTCTCATACATGATAATCAAGGTTTTTAAAATGGACTAGAGAAGGAACCATTCTGGGTCCCGTTCTTGGGTCAAATGGACCGATCGTTTGGACCGAATGGATGGCCCTCTCTAACAAAAAAAAAATTAAAACGAAAAAAAAAAAAAAACAAAAATTATTGTCCAGATCAACAATTTGACCGCTTGAATCAGCAGTTTGTTGACCAAATCAACGATTTTTTGCCAAATAACGGTTTGGGGTTGAAAAAGAACCAATCAAGAGTGACCGATTCTCTTTTCCGGTCCGACCATCCGTTTGAAAACACTGATAATAATAATGAGAGAATAACTTTGTCGGGGGTAGCCCATCCCCGTAGCCATAACCGCCCAACCCTAATAGCAGCGGGATATCCAAGGCCCACCAGAGAAGAGAGAACCTATGGAGACACCATCAATTGATAAGAAATTTATTATCTACTCTCAATCTCCTTATTTCTTCTTTGCCTCATTTCTATTTGATTCAGTTTACTTCAAGATCATCACATAAGTATTCCGACGAATTGTAAATACTGATTATACTTGTATTACGAGATCACAATTCACAATACTGTGGACAAGCAATAGGCCAATAGCTAACGCTATCATTTACTTCGGTCCATTGTCGATAGTAATCATTGACATAAACCTAAAAGCAAAAGGCTGTGGGGCCGATTGCTGATTACTGTGCATTTGCCAAATAAAATCTTCTTTTTATATAACTTAAATAAATCTTATAATCTTTCCATTTTTATGCTTTTAACCATAATTTAATTAATTATAATGATGTCATTAAATAAAACTAAAAAACAATCATAACTTGTTCTTTCTCTTTTTCCTCTTTCATATTTGATAATAAATATGTAATTATTTATAATGGTGTCATTGTTAATTATTTACAATGATACCACTAAACTTCTACCTTTTTATATTTATTAAAAATGGTCTTTATCTCTCATTTTATTTACAATTGGGCCGTGTTGGGCCATGCTTCTCTCCCCTAGGATACTTTAGGGGGTCGCCCTGTCTGAGCCTACACAAGCCTGTGTCGTGTTGCGGGCCAGGCTGGTCCGTGGGCCAAGTCTTAGGCCAAGCCACGAACTGAGCTAATCCATGTTTTTTAAAATTTTTGAAAAAAATAATGAAAAAAGTTAACATAAATTAAAAAATAGATAAATTTAAAAAAAATCTTAAAATTTTATTTTATATGAATTTTGATGTATATAATTGTTTATATATGCAATAATAAAATGAAATAATGTAACAAAATTGAAAATAAAATTATATATTATATATAATATACGGCCCGAGCCCTCGCAGTCCCATGCTGTGCCACAGGCCAAGTCTTAGGCTAGGTCGAGCCACGAGCCAGGCTAAGCCATGTTTTTTTTTTATTTTGAAAAAAAAATTAATGAAAATTTTAACATAAAATAAAAAAGATATTAAAATTTTATTTTAGCTCGAGCCTGTACGTGCCCATGTTGTGCCACGAGCCAAGTCTTAAGCCAAGCCAAGCCACGAACCGAGCTAAGCCTGTTCATGGGCTCGATAGCCCAATAGTTCATCCCAACCCATTAACAACGCTAAATTAATTAATTAAATAATTTGAGATAGCCTTTACCAATCTTGTCATCTTGTCTTGATAATACATAAAGTTTTATTTATTTATTTATTTTACTGAATTATTTAATTAGTTAATAATTTAATAATCTAATAAATTATTATTGCTAGCAAAGTAAGACATAGGATCATGTATATATTTATATATATTTACTCTCTCACTTGATTGTCTATCTCATTTATTTTACTAAATTTATTTATTTATTTATTTATTATATTAAATTAATTATTATTTATCTATTTACAATTATTCCACTATATAAAACAAAAATGCAAAAGTCATCTCTCCCTCTTTCACTCTATTGCCAGATGGCCATGATTATTTATTTATTTATTTACTTATTTTATTAAATTAAATATATTATTATCCATAAATTTTTATTTTAAATAGATATTTTTTCATTAAACTTTTAATTAAAATATTTACCTTTCACAAGTTTTTCTCCTATATAACAATATACCTTTGACAAGCCACTTACCATCATGTTTTGCCCAACGTAGGACCCCCCACTAGTTGGTTGTTAAAACAAAAGCATCAACTCTTGGTCTTATATGTGCCTTTTGTTTTCAGAATTAAAACCGAAAGGCATTCTTAAATTTCTGGTAAAGACCAAGTTTTAATGTAATGATCTCTTATAATCTTTCATAAATCATATAATACGCATTTCAAAATTTGTGTTTGTTTTAAAATCATCGTTTTGATGGTGATTTTATTAAACGAACCCAGCTTGTCTTTGTTTTTTTCAAAACAAAAACACTGTTCAACAATATGTTTGTCTTTATTTAGCTGATTTATCAACTTCAAAAACAAGCAAACAAAAACATTCACATTCCAGAACACCCCGTAAGTTTCTGTTTTTCAGTATAGTTGGTAACATTACGCATCACTGAGGTGTAAACTGTAAACATTCAATCGAGATGGAAGGAGACAAACTCATAATTCTCATATGAACATCAATGAGAACAAACGGATAGGAAATGCTGCTTCGAATTGTATGATCTCCCTTCAACCGTTCATGGCATTAAGCCAAGTTCAAAATCCAAATATAAACCATTAAAGTCATGTTTGGTTTGAAGCCTAAGAGAATTTTCAGCACTTGAGTGCAATACTGCAATGCAAATCCAAACCCGCCTACCCACCACCCCGCTCAAACAAGGCTATTATAAGTTATCGTAGGACAAAAGCAGCTTGCAAATACCAACAAGGTCTGTTATAAATCTTTGGGCCTATAAGAACCTCACAAGTCCATAAAAATCTCGTATAGAGCAAATCCAAGGTCTGTTATAATATGCTAACCAAACAATTCGGTGAGCAACTTGGAGGCATTAGCTTCAGTCAACTACAAATACAGTTGGATCAGTTCATCACTGACCACTGAGGGCGTTAGAACACCAAGATCTGTAAACAGAAGTGTGAGATACTGGGGAGGGGTGTAATCCCTAGCAGATGTTTCAACCTCAACTCCTTTTGGTATTGGGACCCCAAAATCAATTGGGCGTAGGGCAGGGGCCATGTCCTTCTGGTGAAGAGGATAGAGACGTGCAAACTGCAAGGCAAAACAAAGAAATGATGTTTACATAATCTGAGGTAATTTCAGTGAATTTGAAGTGGATGCATATTGATCTGCATTTACCATTGAACCATGAATTTGGTATTAAATCTTCTGCATAATAAAAAGCTCCAGATATATACATAATTCAATTAAAAAACACCAATTGATAAATCTTTATCATTCACACGAAAAGGGATAAGATAGGAGCTCATGACACATATTAGTCCTTGTAAACAATAACCTTTATGTTACATTTCAACTTTCAAATGTTATCTTTTTATTAGTTCAACTTTCAAATGTAATTTTAACTGACAGAAAAATTCCAAAAAGAAAAACGAAGATAAGTGTTTGGGCACCATAATAGATTTGGCCCTATCTCATCATGAATTGTTTAGGACTGGAGAGTGACACTTCACTAGTTTTGTTGACATAACATGTGGGCATCATCAGAATGTAATAATGAGCATTGTGCCAACTGCCAGTGCCTAATGACAACAAGTCTGTACTAAAAACTCACTGCTAAAAAATAAATAAATATATAACAAACAACAACAAGGGAGCAATAAGAAGAAAATAAATAACTTTACTAAGACTTCATCCACATTTCTGGTTATAGGGCCAACCATTCCAGTCCTTGACCAGGCCAGGGCTTGCATAAGCAAATCCAAACTCAGGCTGGGCTGGTACCAGGGAGGCACAAATATTGCTAAAGGGCTGTTACATGCAGATACATAGACCAGCCAATTGCAACACTAACTAGCCACTAATGTTGAACAATCCTACCAAGATCTCCTATGTCATAAAAATAAAATCATATGAACATTATTCATTTTTTTTTTGATAAATTGATCATTATTCACTTATTCAGTAGACTTCTCTAGGTATCTCATCCAAAATTTTATTCCCATTAAAACGCATGTAATAACACAAGGGAAATCTATGGCAATCCAATTGATTACACTTTTTACCCAGGAATGTTACCACATTACACTCTAGTCATGCATTCCCATAACATTACCTTGTAACTTTCAGCAGCCACATAAACCGGTTTGTTCATGCCATGAGCCACCAATGCAATCTGATATGTTCCCATCATGTTGATTATCCCTCCACTTTCAACGACTCCATCAGCCCCAACAAACACCATGTCAATTTCATCCATTGCATAGGCCACTGCAGAATCGATTAGAAGCTTTACAGGAACATCCAGCTTTGCAAGCTCATTAGCCAATCGTAACCCTGTCCTATCTGGTGTTCCTTCTGCATATTTCAAATGCATGTAAGAAAAACCAAGGTTATTGCATTGACATATCTGAATCATGATTCAAAGTATTGATAAACCTTTATTCATTAAAAAAAAGTGGTCCCTGAAAACCAGTAAATAGGTGTATTGGGTACCCAAAGATATGATACAATATGCCTGATATCGGGGTGTATCATATTGATACTTTGAACCATGATCTGAATTGGAATCAAAGAAGATGGAGAGTAATGCAACAATCCAAGTAGTGCAGTCTATCGGACTATTATAATAACTTTTTGGGTAAAAGACCTAAACATATCCTGAGTTTTCACAAAATGACTTAAGCATATTCAGATAGACTTAAATATACCTTATGGGCTGACCCCACTGGACTTCAACATACYCTCCATCAATTAAACAACTCATTTAAAACTTTTAAATGAGTTGGGAGGTGGTGGTGCTTCAAAAGGTCAACACCTTAGACAAGCTTCAAAGAAGGCCAAATTGCTTCCTATCACCTCATGTTATAGCCTGTGCCTTGCTTGTGGTGAGACAATTACATATCTATTTATACCTTGTCCTTTTGTTTACTTTATTTGGAATTCGTTTTCATCTCTCTTGGTTGCAAGTGGACTCCTTCCAATGTGGTAGACAGAAATCTTTATAGAATTCAATAAAGAATAAGTTACAGAAAAGCGGGGGGAGGTAAACTATCTTAACTCCCCCAAAACAAAGAAAAGAAAAAGTACAGAGTTAGAAATAAGCCCAAAACAAAGAATCCCTATTCACCCCTTGCTTAGCTAGCCCATCAGCAAAGGAATTTGCAGTTCTTTTCACCCAGCTGTACTTCATCTCAACATCCATTGCCAACCAGTTGAACTTTTTCCTCTCATTGCTGTATTTCCACATTCCAATCTTATCTTCCTTTAGCCAATTTACCACTACCTCCAAATCACCTTTAATAATCAGTCTCCTAATATTCAGTTCTCTTGCCCTTTGAATCCCTTCCAAGTCTGCTAAAATCTCAGCCCTAAGAGAGTCACCCTCACCAATCGGGCCAGAGAAAAGGGCTAAGGCATTCCCTTCTTCATTTCTGAAAATTCCCCCAATACCTAATAGCCCTGGATTCCCAATGCTACTGCCATCAAAATTCAGCTTTATATAACCAGCAGGAGGGGGAATCCAAGAAGGATTTACGACCCTTTTAACCTGGGCAGAACATGCTATTTCTTTCCATCTTCTCAACAAATCATCCACAGTAAAGTCTGAAAACAGGTTCAGGGATTTCAACCAATGTGCTACCCTTATGTGGATCAACTCTGTTAAGTTCTTAGCATTCCTCTCCTTATCTAAAAATAACCTAGAATTTCTTTCTTCCACAAAGACCAACACACAACTGCCCTTATACTCCTCCACATTATCCTTCCTCTTTTCACTAGCCAGCTGAAAAAAGATGGAGAGAACAAACTCTGTACATTCAAACGAGGGTTCCAACTACACCCAAAAAGGGATAAAGCCCAATCCCAAATGACTTTTGCATAATGGCAAGACACTAATAAGTGGTACCCATTCTCCCCATCTGCTTTGCAAAAAATACACTTGTGCGGAGAAAAACAAGTCTTGGGTCTTTTTTTCTGAAGAAGATCACAAGTGTTGATTCTTTCCAGGAAAGATTTCCAACAAAAACTCCCAACCCGAGGAGGGATAGGTTTGCACCATATCTCTTTAACAAGGAAAGACAAGCTTCTTTAGACTTCCAAAGAAAAGGGGAAGGATAATGTGGAGAGACACAAGAGCAACTATTCTTTGGTTAATTTGGGAGGAGAGGAAATAATAGAATTTTTCAAGGGACTGACCGATCTAAGAAACAAGTCATTGACTCCATTTCCATCAATGTCATACATTGGCTGAAACCGATTGAGTTGTTCAATGACTACTCAGTCGAGGATATTTTCAGAGTCTAGCTAATGGTGGCGAGCTCATCAACTTCAAGGAATTTGGGTCAGGATCATTGGATCCCCTCAGCACAACAAGTGAAGCTGAATTTTGATGGACATTCTTTGGGTAATCTGGGCCCTTCTGGAGTGGGGGGAGTATTCAGAGATCGGAGGACAGACTGGTAGCATTGTACTCTGGACCTATAGAGGTGGGAGATTCACTAAGAGCTGAAATTATGGCCCTACTTCAAGGTTTGAGGCTGGCTAAGCAATGGGGTTTTCACAATCTGGAGGTGGAAGGGGACTCAGTTGCTGTTAGGATGATTGCAAAAAGAAAGTTTGGGGACTTAGAGTTTTAGACAGTAAATGAGAGAAATTTTCAGCTATGCAAGGGAGGTTGGGGCTCTCTTCAAGTGGATCAGGACATCAGTTAATGGTTTAGCTGATGCGTTGGCAAAGCAAGGAACTGCTAGGGAAAATCTGTTTGGGCTGTGATGTAATCTTTGAGTTAATTGTGGGGCCTATGGGGTCAGCAGTCCAGTAGTGAGCGGTTGACACTTGTGCTCTTATATTTTTTCAGTAATGAAAGTTACAGTTTCCGATCAAAAAAGGGAAGAAGAAGAAGAAATCGTTATTGTGTTTAATATTCAATAAGAAACAATATTAGCAAAGAAATTAATAAAGGCACATGACTAGTTCTCATAAACCAAGACAAACTCGATAAAAATTACAACATAGAAGATCCTGTTTATTGTCAAGATCATAGAGAAAAAATCTGAGAGAAAAGTAAACACATGAAGCATACTAGTACCTTTAGTAAATACTAGAGAGGGGGAGGGGAAGCCAAAAGCCCAAAACAAGCCAAAATTTCTGGACCAGATGAAGGAAACAAAGGAGGACGGTTGGAAGAAGAAAAATACAGACAAATTTTATAAGAGATTAGGTAAGGTCTTCTGCAATGAAGCTGAAACAGAATTTGGTAAAGAGAGAAAGTTAGGCCATTTCTAGAGTAAAACAGAAGAAAAAGGCGCTTGATAGAGCCCACCAAAAATTTTGAAATACAATATACTTCATTGATTCACATTATCCCACCACCCCCAGCACCACCTCTAAACATCTTATTGGGATAAATTAATAAAATGCAGGAACCAAACATATTGATGTTTCACTTGATGCCTGATCTCCTAAACTGAAAAAAAAATCTTGCTAAATGGCGGAATGCAAGCATACCTACTTTTTTAATCTATTTTATACTTACTTAGATGCATGGCAATGGTGATTATGCTAATTTTCTAAGTAGACAACATTTCTACTCAAACATTCACTTTTAGCCTGTTTGCAGTTGAACCAAGGAATGGACAAAACGAACCTGTGCACAAAACCCGGAAGAGTTTATTACTTTGTGCTGCAGTCTTTAGAACTTCCAATACAACTCTTGAGAAACCATGGACCAAGATAGTACAACCATCAAATATAAAATCTTGACTAAGCATTGCAATGGTCCTGCGTGCCTGAAACATAAAGGTTGAACTCAAATTTCACATAGATTTTTTTGGTTGCAATTGTCACTTCAGAAATCATAATAAGCTTATATACCTTGCGAGATATCTCCCCAAACTTCTCTCCACGTTCAATCAAACGAGACTTTGCAGCATTAAAGTCCTCATATTCTAAAGCTGAGGTTCTGGTTACATATCGCATGAATAGATCACAACCAGCAGTCAAGGAAATTGAGGTTGTGTCCCATGACTGAATTGTACAAAATGTTGTTAACTCCTTTTTTATAGTAAAAACATATTCATTAAAAGAAAGAAAAAAGAATATACAACCTATGGTAATAACTCATAACCAAAATATCCAAAAGCGGACAGTACATTCATTTTCCTTAAAGTACATACTTTACCCCCAAAATACATTATTGAAACAAAGAATAAAACTTCCTACCCCTTCAACTATCAGCTGTTGGACCCTCTAGTTGACAAAAGAGATCCATTCTCCAATTAAAAAAACAAAGAAGGAAGAAGAAGAAGAACCCAAATAAAGGCTTATGATGCCTTTTATCATTCCAGTAACCCAACCATCTCAACCTTTATATCTTCCATTCAAACCATACAACCTGAACGTCCTTACACCTTCCAACACTCTGCCCCCACTCCCTCCTAGCCCCTCAAAACTTCCAATCTTCCACCATCAAATGGTACCCTCGCCAATTGGTAGGAATTAGGAAAGCTTGCATGTTGAACTGGCCATTTGCATCTTCCAAACTTTTTAACTTCTCTTTCTCTTCTAACCATTTTACTTGTGTAAGCCCAAATACTTGGTGAAGATGGTGGGCTGCGAAAATGGGTTGGGGAGAATGGAAAGTGGCTGGACCCCTAGAGGATCTGCACTACATATCCTCTGGCAAGGGATCAGGCCATCATAGCTCCCTATTAGTCAGTTATCTGAGAGAAGAGAGATACTGTGTGAGGGAAATGGTCTAAGAGAGAATGTCGGTGGAGGGAGGACCTGGGGGGAAAATGACGGTGGAGTAAGTGAGCTCCCTGTTAATTTCTGAATATTTACTATTTATATTTTCTAATTATTAAGTAGAGAGGTTTCTGGATCCTTCCATGCCACATTAGCTAATGCGGACAGTTGTTAGTCACTTAATTTATTCCTAATTCTTATTATTTGCTTTGATTACTACTTGGTGACCTGGGTTGGCAATTAGACCAGACCGGATAGACTTAGAATGGATTAAACCAGGTCTGTAGCGATTTGCAAGTCTATGCTCTTACTACTTGAAAGAAGAAGAAAGTAGCTCCTTGATTTTAGTTTAATCACTCTAACCTAGCAAGATGAAAACAATTTCATTATAGACATCTTATTTTTCCATAGATTTGTAAGTTGATCATGATAAGGTAAGAATCCCCAAACCCTATTTGCTAATACAATTATCAAGTCACCACGTAGAATCATTTAAAGAGAAATTCTAATTTGGCAATTATGATGCTAAGAAACATTCTCCAAGTGCAAGAGAAATCAATGACAGAGAATAAATGACAGTATAATAAAAGATTTGGTACTATGAGCAGAGAGAAAGAGAGAGAACAAAGAAAATAGGGAAGTTTATATTGATATCCATAACCAGTAAAAAACTAAAAGATATATGATACACAAGTTGTCTAGAAAAATGTATCATTCGCTTACATAAGTTGTGGATCAAGATTGAGGAAAGGATAGGGGAAAAAAATTCCTTCAATGTCAGAAAACTCTTAATGAATGTATAAAATTCTTAACAAAGACATGGAGGCTGGAGAAAATGAAAATGTTAACACAGAAGATATTCTTTTATCTTAAATTGATGCTTAGAACTCCAGGTTTTTACCAATCATCCGGCCCCATGCCCACACAAGCTTCAAAAGTTTAATATAATATGAAAACAAAATGACATAAAAAAGATGCTCTAAGAATCATGTTTACTTTTCTGTGTGAAATAGGTAAGGAGTCTCCTAATGTAAATATAATTAGCTTTTGGGTTCTTGTTCTTTTTGTTGTATCAAGGCTATCAAGGCCCTGTACATCCTCTCATGTACACCCTTCCCCTTTTTTGTTTATAATACAAGTTATCTTCTTTCTTCGAAAAAAAAAAAGTCTCCTGATGCAAGCAACAAACGAAATGAACATTAAAGGTGACAGAAAATGAAAAGGACCAAAAAAAGGTAAACAAAACTTTAAACCAAGTAGGAAAAATAGATGATATCATTATAATTGAAAAAGAAAAGAATAAGAAATAAGTAAAATAGGAGAAATTTTTTAAGAAAATTTTGAAAGGCTCGCGACTGGCCCATGTTTCTTAAATTCCCAGCAGAAACACCTAAAATAAATTGGTTCCCAAATCTCAATTGAAATGTGCCCCCAATTTCACTCTATCTACACATCTAAAACAAGGAAATAAAATACCTCCTCAATGCAGTACAACTACAAACCCATTCTGCTACAGACCAATAAGCATGCAACAGGAATTGACTTCACTAACTTCGGTAGCCAGAGAAAAGGAACAATCTTCAACACCCGTCAAAACACGTCACTAGAAAACAACAATTAAATCCAAATCCTATTCATTAGCCAAGTTTTAAACACAACCCAGTTCTCCTTGAACATTATTATATCAGGCATCACTTACTTTGAGCGAATCCGAGGCCTTCTTCAGCTCAATTTCGAGCTCCATCATAGTTGTAGCCTCACTTGTTCGAATCACGGCCGTCAAAGCCAGAATCGCAGCCACAGCTTCCGCCAGGTCGGGCTGTTTCCTCCACCGATTGAACTCGTCGATGACGCTAAAAGCCTTTGCAGATCCAGAGCTAGAAGCAGCGGGAGCGACTAAGCCCTTTTCCAGCGTCAAATCGGCCGGGTCACGGGTGACAGCGGCCTGGGCCTGGGCCAGCCAGTCGCTGGTAACGACGCCGTGATGAGCCGCTCTGGTCTCGTAGTAGGCCGAGATTCCAGGGTTAGGGTTTGGGTTTGCTAGGGTTTCGGGTCTTTCGGACATGTCGAGCCTCTCTGTTCTGCTCTCGTCAGGCTGCTGCCGTTGCTTATCGAGAACGAACGAGGCCGATCTCCTCCACATTTATACTCACCCTCCCACTCTCAGTCTTCCCCCCGCCCACTTTCTGATTGTCTGTCTATATGAACGACGGTTTGCCTGATTCCGGTAACTCGGGAACAGAGAGGAGAAAGGAGTTCCGTACAAKAATCGCTTGGGTGGTGTCGTGGTGATGATATGAATGCCATTGCCTGGCCTCATGGCTTGCACTGTGGCTGCGCCACGTCTTTTTGTGAATACACCGGCAACCTTGATAACCGGTTGCCCCAAACAGTTGCCATCATATATATATATACATACTGAGGCTGAGGCTGAGGCTTATTTGACTTAGAATCCGATTATCCCGTTAGACCCAGCTTATAATAAAATAGTTGTTTACGCTCATAACTTTAAGGTCTAGTTGGGTTAAGGTAAGTTATAATTGGTCATCCTTAAGTAGAATATTTATAATTGAAGTATTATTAATTTTATTATTTTTATATGAAATGAAAATAATTTGTTTTATTATTTCTAATGTTTGGTTACTTTTTATTGTTAATTTTAATTATCCTATTAATATTATTTTTTAACTAGAATTCAAATGAATTTTAAGTCAAATGGAAGGGTGGAGACTATGTCTTAAAATTTTATCTCTCTCATTAATTTAGAGTGATTTAACTATTTACAATATTTTTATTAATTAGTTTTTTAAATTATTATTTGTTTAACAGGTTGGGTTGGACCCATGTTGGCTTTGAAGTATTAAGTCCAACTTGGCCATGAAATTTGTGGGTTTGATAGGGTCAGTAACCGGGTTGAACTGAAATGATCATCCATAAGTAAGTTGTTTTTGGTTTATTAGATTAACAAGGAGAGGAGGGAGAATAAAATAAAAAAAAATAAAAAGGAAAAAAGAAAAAAGAAAAAAGAAAAAAAAACAATTTAATAAAACAATATAAAGAGAGATAACCAAAGGAATTAATGAGAAGGATTGTACAAATGCAAATGCTATTATCATTTTGTAAACCTTGCAGATTTGTATTTACAATCTCCCCAAATGGAGCCATATATACAAATTTATTGTATTTAATAATATAATATATCTAGCCAATAAAAAAATATAATATAAAATTTTAGTTGTACCATATAGAACCAATCAACCGGTATAAGAAAAGTGGTAACTCATTAGGTTTTTTTTTTTTATCAAATAGGGATAGGCCGGGATTGAGTACTGGTCAAGCCCTCTCGGTATATCATGTCTTAGCAGTAGTGTAGTTTTTTTTCCTAAAATAATGTACAAGAACATGCATACATACATACATAGCTAGGCACAATAATATGAATTAATGCAGATCTGCTGAATTTTGGCTGGCTGTTCCAATGACAAGACTACACATTAGTGAGACACAAGAGTTGAAGAGCTGAGTCTGTTGACACACCTTATTTTTATTTTTGAAAATAGGGTTTGGACTTTGAAGAAAGGTGAAAGGTAGGTTACTCGAGTCGTCTTCTTCCTCCTCCCACCTTTGTTTAGTTATGTTTCCACGACACATAAACAACATATGAATCTGTCTTCTTGTTTAGCTAGGCACCCCGCATAGTCTGTCCTGTCGAACCATGGAGTTTAGATTCCCTTCGAAGGATTTAAAAGATTGCTCCATGCCGTCTGTGAAAGCTGATGGAAGCTAGCAATGGTGCAACTGTAATCAAATTAAACCTTTCGACCACTCTCAGTGCTTCCTGCTGTTCTAATAAAGGCATCAAATTTGTTTGACAACCACTTTAAGTATCGGAAGGAAGACCAAAGGTGAAGGGGAATACGCCTAGGTTTTGCGCCACTTCTACAGCCCAGGGAAGGAACACAGTCAGCACAGTGTACTGTAGACTGCTAGGCAGGCAGAAGATCAAGACACTGCCTTCATTTGCGAGTATGATAACGGGACTAAACCACAGATTTTTAGCTCACACCAGAAAACAAGTGATCAGCATCGTCAATGGGTTTCATGCCATCATCGTAACCAGGCCCCGCAGGCAATGGCTCTGCAACAGGCAGTAGTGGGGGAGGAGGATTTACCTACTCTAAAGACAACAATTGGCATTACTGGTGGTAGCTCTACAACTGCAACAATGGAAGAAGACTAATCCATCTTTTTCTGTTCTTTTTCTTTTCTTTTTTTTTTAAAGGAAAAATCCACTTTAGTACCTAAACTTTGAGGGTAGTGTCAAGTTAATACCCGAACTTCCTAACGTGTCACTGCAGTACCTAAACTTTCAAAAAATGTCAAGTTGGTCCCTGCCGTTAACCAATCATCAATTATCTGTTGAAAATGTCAAAACTATCCTTCAAAAGAAGACAATGCTCATTGTCTTCTATCTCGAGACTGAACTGGTTATCTTTAAAGAAAAAACATGAACTATGATAGAGGGAAACAATAACTAAAAGCAAAGAAATAACTAGAAAAAGAATGAGATTCAAATCTAAAGGTAGAAGGCAATGATTTCATTAGTCTCAAGGTAGAAAACAATGAACAGTGTTTTCTATATGGGGTTTTTATAGAAACTCTAACCAACTCCTTTTAGGTTTAGCCTTCAAGTCGGTTTCTCTCCTCCTTTCCCTGCCATAAATAAAAACTCTTAAAACCCTAACTATAAATCCCTTTGGTCGAGAATTATTCAACATTCATTTAAAATTCTTCTTGTTTTTTCAAGAACCTAGCGCTCTTCAATTCCTCATCTCTCTCCTTTGTTTCAAAAAGGAAAGTGTCCCCGTAACTCTTTTGTCGGTTCTTTGTTGCATTTTGATAGTTTTTCTCAATCTTTCACACAAAATCCTAGGTTTTTCTTTTTACCAAATTTCTTTATATTACGTTTTTTGCAATTTTTTTGGTAGGAAAATTTGGCCATCTCAAGTCCGTAATCCTCAAGTTTTTTAAGTTCATTTTGAATCTGTGGACTTTCGAGCCCTAGATTTTAGTAATTCAAATTCTAGGACTTCTAAAGGCCACGTTTGGTTGAGGTGGAAATCAAACCGGGGTAAACTTTACACCCTTCTAAGATTTTGGCACCAGCGAAGCTCTGATCGGCACCGACAATTTTGGCAACTAGGTGGGAATCCTTTCCACCACTCCGATCTCCCACAAAACCCAACCCGATCTCCCGCAACTGGATCTATTTCTCTCTCTCTCTCTCTCCTTCTCTCTTCTTCTCCCCCCCCCCTTTTTCTTTCTCTATTCTATCACCACCGTTGCAACCAGTTGCAGCGGCATATCTGAACCCACCTCTGACCTTTCTCTTTTTCTCTCTCCACCTGTCTCTCTTTCTCTCTTTTCCTCCTCCTTTTTCTTCTTCCTCTACTTATCTCCTCCTCTCTTCTGTTATTTTAATCACTGTAGATCGTCTTCTCCTTTGAGATGAACGTAGAACGACAACAACAAACTCAGGCCTATATTTTTTCACCACCACTGAAATCACCTTGTAAATAGAAGGGAATGACCTAGGTTGGTGGCATGTCTTCCTTTATGTTGTGTGAAGAAGAAAAACAATGACGTAAACAAAAGAACATGTGGTCCAAACGGAATCAGCCAACAACAAAGTTTTCGCCATATTAGTTCAAACATTGAAATGTCAGTAACGTTTGTTTAATGTTAATAGCTAGGTAGTGGGGAAAATAACTACACCATCTCATCGAATTTACACCTTGACAACCAAACATGGTTAGTGTAAATTTTCAAAATCTATCGGTCCCAATTTCCATAGACAACTAAACCGGTTCACATTTCCCATCAGTGTAAAATTGAATTTACACCTAAAACAAATGCAGCCTAAGATTCATTTTATAGGTTTTTAAGGTTGTCTAGATTTGATTCCACTATAGATCTCTAGATTCCAAAGTTTTCGAAAACCTGAGAAAATGCCTACATATTTTAGTAATTCAAATTATGGAACTTCTTAAGATTCATTTTCTAGGTTTTAAGGTTGTCTGAATTCAATTCCACTACAAATCTTTGGATTCCAAAGTYTTCGAAAATCAGAGGAAATGCCTGTGTATCTCATGCCCAATGAAATTGCAGCCATCAATAGTGGTGATGTGAACTCAAAGCCTCTTGTACAAGTCTTGGAAATCAAGCTCATAGGCAATATTCATAGGATCAATATCGCCTTTTACTCTCTGATTTCGTTTCCACTCAGCATGCAATGTTGGCGACTCAACTGAATGATCAAGTGAAGAGCGGGGGAGTACAAAAGGGATTTGTTGTTCAACTGATCGATTACATCCGCAACATTGTTCAATCTCAAGGTAGAAGACAATGAACAATGTCTTCTTTTAAAGGGTAATTTTGACATTTTCAACAAATAGCTGATGGTCGATTAACGACAGGGGCCAACTTGACACTTTTTAAAAGTTTAAGTATTGCAATGACACATTTGAAAATTCAAGTACTAATTAGACACTACCCCTAAAGTTCAGGGTACTAAAGTGAAAATTTCCCATTAAAAAAAGTATGTTGACCGATTTATGATTTATCTCTCACAACTCTTTATGTGTGGCTTGGACATGGTGTATTCCTATTAGAATTTAGGAACACAACCAACCATCAGCCAAGCCAAATTCAACTAATCCGATATCCTTTGGCTTGCCCCATAAAGGGAAAGGTGAGGTGCCTAGTGCCGTGCTATATGGTAGACTTGTTGTTAGTGGAGTCAAGGTTATAACTTGGAAAGATGTAAATATATATTATGCCCTAATTGGCACTAGACATGTTCATGGGCCGAGTAGCCCGATGGCCCGGCCCGGCCCGCACCCTAGTCGGGCTTGGTCATGTAATTAGGCCCACAGGCCTAACACAGTAAGCCCGACTGTGTTACGGGCTAGGCTCGGGATTTGTCAAAAAAGCCCGACCCGACTCAACATTATATATTTTATAAAATACATAATATGTATTTTATATATTATATAAATATATAAATAATATAATATTTATTGAAATATATATATATATTTATAATTTAWTATATACATTTTTTTTATTTTTTTCTTTATAATTTCTCTCACTCTCTCTATTCAGCCGTTTCAGTAGTAGTAACAATATGGGCTAAATTTTGGGCTCGGGCCCAGGCCTGGGCTTCGGGCTTTTTATGAGGGCCAGGCTCGGGCCCAAGTTGTAGGCCCGATGGTCGGACCGGACTCGGGCTCGAGCCTTAGAAAAATCTATTAATACAGAGTGTAGCCCGACCCGAACCCGACCTAGCCCGACCCGAACCCGGCCTAGCCCGACCCATGAACAGGTCTAACTGACACCCACAACATTAGGAATAAAGCTTGGGATTCATCAAAGAGAGAGGGATAGAGTATAGGCCAACCGGCAAGTGGCAACCGACCACCAAAGGTGCCAGCTAGATGAGGCTGAGGGTTCTAATGATGGCTGTTCAAATGAACTTTGCTGTGACTGAATCCGGTTCCCTGTAAAAGACGTATTTAATACTGACGTAAAACCTTAAACTTTGCTCCCTAGCAATACCCATCTTCTATCCCCATTGTGATTGTGAGTATAGGCTGTATAGCCCATAACCCATTTGCTTACTTGGACGAAACGGGATCTGCACCCATCAACGCTTCCAACGTCTCCACACATTGACATCGGAAACATCTGCGAGCCTTGTTGAGAGCAGAGCAGAAACCTTTTGAGTTTTGAGTTGGACGGTGTGGATCGATTAGCTGTACGCTTGTACCATGTCTTGGACCACAACACAAACAACTTACCCCATGGGCCATGGGCCATGGCCAAGTTCACTTAGCTCAAGACGTTCGGGTTCGAGCTTCTTGCCAAGTACCAACCATGTCAAACGTTCAAGACTTAGGGCCACAGGATCTGTTGTAGAAGGATATATCACATATGGGGCTTACAACTCAACTTGCCAAGTGATGAGGTCATGGACCCATTTGGATTGGGTCCCACTGAAAATAGGCTTCAGCTTGGTATTGATTTAAGAATTTTCCAAGCCGTTAGATCATAGGCATTCTTAGGTTGGAGTGTTGTGTTGGACCCGTCCATTCATTGATAACACGTTGGAAGTTTTGTGGGCCCGGATGGCAATTGTGGATCCACGGCCCAGGCAGTTCCTTCCCCAAAATTAATTCCTATACTTTATTGGAGAGCAGCGCAGCTCAGCTGTTATAGTATCCTGAACGTCCATGCTTAGGAGATTTGTTTATTATGTTTTTTGATTGGTTTTTATTATATATATTTTATTTACATTAGTCTCTGCTCTGTAAATATGTATATCTTTTCTTTTTATTGTTAAAATATCAGTAATGAGGGTCTTTTTCTGTGCCACAAGCAAAACCAAGAACTAAAAGAAAAAGGGGAGAAATAATAAAGCCCAGAAAGGTGAGATTTTCTGAATTTTGTTCGCGATTATTCGTTCAATTTCCGTGAATTCTGTTAGAAACCTTATCTTCTAAATTAATTAAATGGAATATCGATAGAAATTGCCGGAAATTATAGGTTCGTGTTGATGCCTCTTTCTCCATTTCTATCTTTGTTTTGGTGTCTGTTTTCAACGGCTGAGAACAAGAACTCTGCAATCGAATATGGAAATCTTTGCTTGATTTCGATTTTGTTTCTGGGTTTTGGTCCGTGAAGACTTAGTTTTGGTGGGTCTTTGATTCTGTTCTCGTGGTCTAAATCGGCAGGCAGGTTGTTTTGACTGGAAGATCTGGTTGCAGTTTTGGTGTGAATTGAAGGTGCTTTTGATCAGAATTCGGAATACCCATATAGGTCTTCGTTGGTTTCGTAAGGAAAAAGGTTGGTTTTTAGATGTCTCGGGTGTTCGAATCGAGTGCACTGGTTTCGAGACTGGTGATTTCATGATAGGTTTACTGGAAGTGACGCAAGGGAGCAGTTTGAGTCGATTGGAGATGTGCCATGGGTGTATTCAATATTTCAATGCAAGTTACTCATTCCGCAGGGAGTGATTGATGATAAATGGATTTTGAATATTTAGGAAGTCCGAGTTTTCTCTTCAGAGTTGTTTATAAGGTGAATTGGGTTGCAGTCTGTTGTGGGTTTCATTTATATTTTTTCCTAGTTGGTTTCGGTTATCAAGAGGATTATCATAGGTTTAATTTGGCACTTCTGTTGTGATTTCGGTGAACAAATTTGGATCCAAGTGCCTCCTTGGTGGAAGTTTCAGTTTCTTGTACTTAAGTTATGGTATATGGAATTGGATTCTCATATAAGAGCAGGAATTACATTTTTTTTGTTCCAGACTTCCAGTTACTCCTTTTCTGTGAGTTAAAACATTCACATAAGAAGTGAATATAGTGCCAGTAATTGCTATCCAGTACTTAGCATATGAACTAGGGCTTCTTAGGGTCTTGATTGAAGCAACAATTACTGCAGGTACTGATGCTGACAATATTTGTTGCTTGATGAATGCTTTTATAAGGATCTGGATTCTCTTTCTTATATTTGTAGGGTATTGGCATGAATTAATTGATTTCTGCTCTTCCAAACTTGGTGATTAATGATTATTTTCTACAGTGGCCAATGAGCAGATCATAATGAGTGGATCTGGGACGGTTCTTAGTCAATGGACACCCCCGACAAGAGGTTCTCTGAGCTAGTTGATATTGTTAAATCCTGGATCCCTCGAAGGACTGAGCCACCGAATGTGTCGAGGGACTTTTGGATGCCCGATCAAAGCTGTAGGGTATGCTACGAGTGTGACTCCCAGTTTACAATTTTTAACCGTAGGCACCATTGCCGCCTCTGTGGACGAGTGTTCTGTGCAAAATGCACTGCAAACTCGATTCCTGCCCCGTCTGATGAGCAGAAGACTGGCCGGGAAGAATGGGAAAGGATCCGTGTTTGTAACTATTGCTTCAAGCAATGGGAACAAGGTATAGCAGTGGTTGATAATGGCATTCGAGCATCCAGTCCGGGTCTCAGTCCTTCACCCTCAGCAACAAGTTTGGCCAGCACCAAATCTAGTGTCACTGGTAACAGCAGTAATAGCACTGTTGGTTCTACAGCATATTCAACTGGGCCTTACCAACGGGTACAATACAGTCCTAGTCTCAGTCCCCATCAGTCTGCCAAAATGGAACCTGGTACAGATAAGGAAGACATAACAACACCTGCGAGAAGCACAGATCCTGTTGCAGACATAGGGATTCCATCTCCCAATCAATATGCTTTTTGCATTAACAGGTTTGCTTTCATCTCTACTTTTGTTTATACACCTATGTTGAATCAATGGTATTGATTGTCTATGCAAATAGAGGTATTCTGCTATTTATAAAAGAAGGGTAGTTTACACTGTACTGCTTATAATTTTAACTTGATTTTTATTTTTGACCATTACTACACATAGGTTTGCCATTTGTTAATTTGATAAATACCAGACACATACTCATATGTGAGTGTTATCATTAGATGTTATCAGTACAATCAATGTGCTACCACATTTTGGAGAAGTATGTATGGTTTTACATCATACTACAGCCTCTATTTCAGGGGATTTGATTGGCTTTAAAACATTCTCAAAATCTAAGGGGGTCTTCAGCAACATGAATGGTTTTGTTCTTCTTGAGTTTTCTGATGTGGCAGTTGTTCTTGTTTTGAAAAATAAAACCATAGATATTGGCAAAAACACCCCCTAAATCTAGTCCCCATTCAACCTTTCATTTCAGGGGTTCAAGCAGACAAACCCATTTAATGATAGAAAAGGGTCCACTTAATTAGGTCTTATTCCTCATTCTTTGGTGTTGTAATTGAGCAATGAGATATTGCTGAAATATGCAAAAAGATTCAAATGTACTTGCATGCAAATCATTTTTGCATTTCAGGGGCTCAATAGCTCTGTATTCCTGACAGGTTAACCAATGAATGGTAATCCAACAGATTGAAAGGATTTTAGGCCATATTATAAGAAAAAAAACACATACTCACATACATGCACAAATATACTTGCATGCTTATTACCAAAAAAAACCTGAGAAACTTGCATGCTTGCTTTTTTTTTTTAGTACCATAAGAGATTAATTGCTTGAAACAAGTACTTGAATATATATGATAAAATGGAGGTAATTGAAAATTTTTCTTTAGTTTCTTTTTCTTTTGTATAACCTACATTAAGTCTATTATGTATTATTACTAAACATTATTCTAGTCCAGAACCACTATCATGTGGGTTGTCAACAATTTGTGCTCTTGAGATATTATTATGGATTATTTCTGTGTGCTTATTCTTTTTTGTCAGGAGTGATGATGACGATGATGAATACGGTGCTTATCGATCAGATTCTGAAACAAGACATTATAATCAGGGTGATGACTTCTATGGCCCTGCTGAATTTGATGAGATAGACAATGCCTATGGGTCACAAAAAGTGCACCCAGATGCTGAAAATATTGACACAACAGGGTTGAGCAATTCTTTGTTACATGAGAGTTTAGATTCACAAGGCTTGGAAAGAGTCAAGAAGCAGGGGGAAGAAGTGGAAGGACATGATCATGTTGACGACTGTGAAGCTGCTGCTTCTTTATATGATATGGATGGTACAGAGGCTGAGCCTGTAGATTTTGAGAATAATGGGCTTCTCTGGCTCCCTCCCGAACCTGAAGATGAAGAGGATGATAGGGAAGCCATTCTATTTGACGATGACGATGATGATGACGCCACAGGAGAGTGGAGATATTTGCGCTCTTCAAGCAGCTTTGGGAGTGGGGAATACCGTAGCAGGGATCGATCAAGCGAGGAGCATAGGAAGGCTATGAAAAATGTGGTAGATGGGCATTTTAGAGCTTTGGTAGCTCAACTATTGCTGGTTGAGAACTTACCTGTGGGTGAGGAAGATGACAAGGAAAGCTGGCTAGAGATAATTACGTTTTTGTCATGGGAGGCTGCAACACTCCTTAAGCCAGATACAAGCAAGGGTGGAGGCATGGATCCTGGTGGGTATGTGAAGGTCAAATGCATAGCTTGTGGTCGCCGCAGTGAGAGGTAAGTTTTATGATAAGCATATGATTTAAGCTTAGTATAGCACACTACCCCATATTGCTTGCTTGTTCCTGATTCCCTAATCTATTTGAGTTAATAAATCTAAAGTGTTTGGATTGTTTAAGGAAATATCATTGTGAATGAATGTTACTTTATTAATTAACCCAGAGGCCATTGCTTGGTGTTATAGTAAACTCTTGGTCTGACAAGAGTAAGAATGTGGGTTCAAGTCTGTGCCACTTAGTGCTAAAAATATTAGAGGTTAGGTCTGTATCCATTTTATCCCTAGAGGTGTAAATTAGGCCATGCCGGCGGCACGGCCTGGCACGACGATTTGCGGGCCGTGCCAGGCCCAGCATGACCATGCGGGCCGTGCTGGGCCTGGGATTTTAGGTCCACGGGCCGGCACGACACTGCACGACGGAGAGGACCGTGCCGCCTACGGCCCGTGGGCTGGCACGACCCATATATATATTTTATATATATTTATATAGTATATAATATATTAATAAATAAGCAATTTTATACACAAAATTCATATAAAATTAAAATTTTAAGTTTTTTTGTCAATTTTTTAAATAAATAGCTTTGGCCCGATACACGGCCCATGGGCCCACATGGGCCCGGGCTGTGGGCCGTGCCATGCCGACCCCCAAATTTTTCACCGGGGAGGGCGGCACGGCCCGTCATGGCCTGCACAAAGTGCGGGCCGCTCACGCCAACACAATAGATTTCAGAGATCAGTATTGAGTAACGGCCTTAGTTAGTTTTGGCCTAGAAAATTGTAATTTTCTGTTTAACTCTCACTTGGAGTGTTCGGTCCACCAAGAGAGGAGAATTAGAGTTTTGCATTTGATTTTTAATGTGTATCTTTTACTTTTTCATGCAGAAAAGGAATAAAAGAGAGATTACTAGGAAGTAGGAACTAAAGAAAAATTTTAGGATTTAAATTCTGAGTCCTCTCCATATATATCACCAAACCTGTAACATCCGACTTGGAAGTTAGTTCATATTGAATTAGTTCACAAGTCTGTAGCATTTGAACAATTTAGTTAACTACAGTTTAACATTTTAACCATATTCTGCGCATCTGCTCATGTGTGCACATTCTTGTGCATGTGGTGTAGGACTGACTGGGGAGTTTTGTCAAATAGGTGGTTGTATGGATAGACTGCTGTGAAAAATAAGAAAAAATTGAAGAAAATCTGATGAACAGAAGGTTTAAGCCAGGGTTTTGGGTTGGGAAGGTGCAGATAGGTTTAGGTAAGAGTTGTGGATGATAATTTATGGTTAGAACTTAGAAGTTCAAGAGATGGGTTTATGAGAAGAAACAGGGGAAAACTTCCTGGTTATGTAAATATCTCTAGAGAAAGTAAGTGATAAATCAAGAGAATAGGAAGAATTTTTCAAAATTGCTTGAAAGGAGTCTTTAAGGGTAAACTAAAAAGGGTGACTAGGGGGCTTCAGGTGTGGGAGGAGTATTTAGGAATGAAAGAGGTGCTTGGGTCTAATTGGGGAAGGGGACTCATTAAGGGCAGAAATCATGGCAGTTTTGTATGGTGCCCAGAAGGCAATTGAATTAAAGATTAACAAGTTAACAATAGAGGGTGATACAAACATTTTTTAGCTGGCCAAAGAAGAGGGGAAAATTGTTATGGAGGTGTTTAAGGGCTGCCTTGAGTTGGACCATTTGGGAGGAAATGAACTCAAGGATATTCTTAGATAAGGAAAGAATTAAAGAGGCTATTATTGAGACTATCACTGTTAGGGTGGTCCAGTGGGTTAAATCCTTGGAGTTGTTTTCTGATTTTACAATGGGCGATATTATTAGAAATTGGAGGTATTTGGCTTGTTCAAATCAACATAAGACTTTTACAAATCCTGTTTGGTCCCCACCACCCCAGGGCTTCACTAAGCTAAATTTTGATGGGACTATGGGAGTAGCACAGGCAATCCTAGTCCTTCAGGCATTGGTGGTGTTTTTAGGAATGAGGAAGGCAATATTATTGGTCTATTTTTAGGGACAATAGGTGTAGGGCATTCTTTGAGGGCTGAGGTAGGCTTTGGCCATGATGGAAAGGGTGCAAAGAGCTAAGGATTTGCACATTAATAAGGTGGTTATAGAAGGGGATTCAAAGCTGGTGATGGGTTGGCTATAAAATGAAGAAGTCGGGCTGTGGAAATACAACAGTGAAAGAAAGAAGTTTAAATGGCTGACCCGAGGCATGGATGTGAGAGTACATTGGGTTAGAAGAATTGCTAATGGGTTTGTTGATGCTTTGGCAAAACAAGGGGTGGGAAGAAATCAGTTGTTTTGGGTTCAACTGTAATGGTTTTTTAATCTTTGGGGAGAGTTGAGAGATTTTACCTCTCTTCTGTAATTTATATTCTATCATTAATGAACTTTGCAGTTATTGATAAAAAAATAGAGGGATGAAGACGATAGTGGCCATGGGGTGGTTGCTGAAGAAAGAGAAGGCTTTGTGGGTGTTATAATTCAGGTCTGCCTTAGAGTTCGGCCTGACTGAGTTCAGTTATGTAGAAGAAGAAAAAGTGATAAAGAAAGAGAGAGAGAGAAGAGAGAATTCTGATTCGAACTGAAAGAGTCAACTTGACTTCTCCCAGTCGGCCAGTAAGTATTTATATTATTATTAAAACAT